ATGCCCTGCCGGCACTGCTTCCGGCCATCCTTAAGCCCTGTTCAGAGTCCACTCATTGTGGACTTGCTAGTTCGAACTAGCAAAATGCTAGTTCGAACTAGTTTTTAGTTCTAGACGCGTTAGTTCGAACTAGCTTAGTTCGAATTAACTAATTCGAACTAAGTTAGTTCGAACTAGCGCTGTAGTGTAGACGTACCCTTTGTGACTTGCCCACCATTTCACAGAAACAATATGTCAGAAGACAGCATCAAATACTTCTCTCCTAAGTCCTAGGTTAGTGACTTAACTATTAGGCTAGGAAGGGAACTTCTTTGGGTTGGGGGGGCTGACCCATAGAAAAATTACAAGTGAGAAGGAAAAAAAAATCTCATTGGCCTGATTCCCAACTGGGAAGGAGAAAGACACTCCCCACGTTCCCCTCACACACCAGAGCCTTGGGGGGCCAGGGGAGTAGATTTTGTGTGCTCCGGCCCCATGGTGGGGCAGTGAAAGGGCTGGAGTGCCAGCATGGGCTCCCCAGTGCTGGGGGGGGGGACCCTGAGCCTCAGAGGCTGGATCCACACAACTTGGGAGCCCCATTCAGCCCTCCCTCCCCGACCTGAGGTTCCCCTCCTCTGTATTAGACTAGAGGTCGAATATAAGTACTGATCAATGGACCACGCTGCCGTCTCCCCCATTGTCTATGCGTTTTATGTCAGTTTCTCTACTTATCACACAAAAGGAAGTAGCTGAAGTTACTAATCAATAATTTCACAGAGTTGCATCTCACAGAGTTGAATCTCGCTGAATTCTTTTGTAGAATTGCAGCACTGGCCTTGATAGTAGTTGCACAGATTAACAAATTCCACTGCCTGGTTATCTCCCTCTCTGTACAGAAAAAGCTTTTCCTGCGGAACGACAGAGTGATATCATCATGTCTCTCTGTGTTCCACTGCCCCTCCCTTCACCCTCAGCATCCCTTCCTCCTCCCTCCCACTACTCCGGCCACACGGCTTCCTTCCTTCCCCATCGGGGGGCCCAGAGCTGCACACCCTCTCCCATTTTGGGGAGGAGGGGCTGAAGCCACACTCCCTCCCCCCTTCCAGGGAGGCCATAGAGCTGCACAGCCTCCCCCTTCACAGGCGGGATGGGGGCTGTGAACTGTGGGACTTCTCCCCTCTGGGGGAGAGATGAAGGTCATGCAGCCTCCTCCATCCTGGGGGGACCAGAGCCACAAGGACTCCCCCATACCCGGTAAAGTTAGTCAATTTTATTGCATTGCATCACAAATATATTTTATATGCTCTCTACAGAGAATTATTAGGAACCGAATCCTTGTGGTCTGTGTTGTTGTCCATATGTGGAATTGCAGCATTTTTCCAGCTGGTCTTTTTGCCATTCTTCCCTGAGTCTCCCTCCTACCTTTTCGTGCAAAAAGAAGACACCGAAGGCTGTTTAAAAGGTAAAATGGGAGAGCCCTTCTGCAAATCTCTGATGTTTGTATATTGATAGCCATATAAAGGGTGGGTCTGGTTGTTGGAACCAAGTTTCCCATAGTTAGAGCCCTGCACAGATACAAAATTTTGTTATCTACATCCGTATCTGCAAAAAAGAGCCTCAGATAGCTGCAGATTTGCAGGGCTCTCCCTATTGCCCACCCATGATCTTTCTTACAAAATCTAATCAACCAGGATCTTGTACTGATATTGGTGTAGATCTACATCAGCATAAAAAAAATTGCTAATTTGCAATTAGTAGAGATACTCTACAATATTACTTCATTACGCAAACAAAAGATAGACATCTACCAGCTCATAACAATGTATATCAGTGTGTTCCAGTAGGCAATAGCTGATTGATTTCTTCAGTCAATGATTAATGGATCGATAGATGGACAGAATTTGTTTACTGAATAATTAAAGAATCATCTAATCACTAGTTTATTAGCCAGTTGAATGATGGAGGCATCAGCTGATGGATAGGGTTCCAAGGCATTCCAACTTTATAAATAAAAACCAATACTATTAATAATTATGAAACAACAAACAGTCCTGCAGCACCTTAGAGACGAACAAAACGGCTACGTCTAGACTGGCATGATTTTCCGCAAATGCTTTTAATGGAAAAGTTTTCCGTTAAAAGCATTTGCGGAAAAGAGCATTTAGATTGGCATGGACGCTTTTCTGCAAAAGTACTTTTTGTGGAAAAGCGTCCATGCCAATCTAAATGCTTTTTTCAGCAAATGCTTTTAACGGAAAACTTTTCCATTAAAAGCATTTGCGGAAAAGAGCATTTAGATTGGCATGGACGCTTTTCTGCAAAAGTACTTTTTGTGGAAAAGCGTCCATGCCAATCTAAATGCTTTTTTCAGCAAATGCTTTTAACGGAAAACTTTTCCATTAAAAGCATTTGCGGAAAAGAGCATTTAGATTGGCATGGACGCTTTTCTGCAAAAGTACTTTTTGTGGAAAAGCGTCCATGCCAATCTAAATGCTTTTTTCAGCAAATGCTTTTAACGGAAAACTTTTCCATTAAAAGCATTTGCGGAAAATCATGCCAGTCTAGACGTAGCCGTTTTGTTCGTCTCTAAGGTGCTGCAGGACTATTTGCTGTTTTTAAGTTTTTCCATTTATAGACTAACTCGGCTCCCCCTCTGAAATGAATAATTATGCTTTGCTTTTTCTCCTCCACAGCCATGAAGCAGCTTTGGGGTCATGGGGATTATAAAGTGGAGATTGACGACATGAGGAAGGAGAAGGCAGCAATGAAAAGCACCAAAACTATGAGTGTCCTGGAACTGGTGAAAGAACCGTCCCTGCGCTGGCAGCTGTATATCCTGATTGCCCTTATGATGAGTTTCCAGCTTTGTGGCTTGAATGCAGTTGAGTATCTGACCTCAGAACTGTTATTGGGCAGCACTGAGACTATTACAGGACTCCGGTTCCTATTTGTTACTTCCTCTTCGCCCTCTTTTCTCCTCCTCACAGACGGTTCGCTTGTGGTATTAACATTCACAGACGTTCACACTACTGGACTTCTCAGCACTCTAACGTGAACCCATTCACTTTGTACCGCACCGTGGATATTAATAAAGAATACTGTCCCATTTATTTCATTTCTGTTCTCGCTAGAAGCTCTTCTCTAGGACAGATGGCTTGCGGCTGGGTCTCCCTGGCAGCAGGGTGGCCTAGTGGTTAGGTCCTGGATTTTGCTGGTAGAAGAAGGGTGCAGACCCTTGCGGCTGATGCCCTGGGCCTATGAATTCCGGCCTACTATCTGCAGACAGTCCTTAAGTTTGGGGTGGGGACCCACAAGTCCAAATTTCCCACGCCTCAGTGAGGACTCTGAGTAGGTTCCCCCCTTTGGCCCCAGGGGATGGCATTGGAGGCTTTCTTGCGCCTGCGGCTGGCCAAGTGGATGGGCTTTGGCTTGGGTCCTGAAGTCGGCAGAATCCTTAAGTTCCTCAGTTTTCCTAGAAGCAGATGTGTAATTCCATCTACCCCTTTATCTCTGTGGTGTCAAGGGATTTCCTTCCACCAGCCTCTGCCAAGCCAGACAGCAAATTTTCCCCTCATCTCTCCTTCCCCGGACCACTCTTCTTTCTTTTGGATCCAATCAGCTCCTTCTCCCAATTCCCCTATTCAATCCCTCCTTTCTCCAAATGCAAAGCTTCTTGGAGATCCATTCTTTTCGTGACCCTCAAAACCCTTTGGTTACTCCTGAATAGACCCTGGAATGTCAGACTTCAAATAGCTGCCTCGGCTTTTCTTTTGTCCAAATAGATCCCAGGCCCCTTCTTTTTCCTTTCCTGGCCCCTTAATAAATCCAGACTCGGTGATACTCTCCTAGGGAAGGAGTCGAGATCGGAATGCCGCACACCCCTCACTTAGCTTCATCGTTAACATTCCTTTTCACCTCATTTTCCAGATCTATTTTTATGCCTTTGAAGTGTTCCGCACGGCCAGGTTGGATGAAGACATTATTCCGTATTTCCCCATAGGAATTGGGATCTGCGAACTCTTCTCTGTCATCCTGTGTGTAAGTCAGACCTGACTTGGGTTTGGAGGGTGAAGGGAAATGCGAGTTGAGCCAGTTCCTTCAGACTGCCCTTTTGATACATGAGCCAAAGAATCTGGTTTGGGTCACTGCCTTGCCACATAAACCTGTGAAAGACGACTTAAAACCTGCTACCGGAAGGGGTCAAGGAGTTTCCCTGGGCTGGAACGGCCCCTCCTCATTACCCCTGCCAGTCCTGTTGAGCTTGGGAGAAAAGTCTAAGATGAGAGAAGTGCAGCCCAGAGCATGCCTCTCCTGCGGTGACACAGACACGCTGCTGCAGTGATGGTGCAGCAGGGCCACTGTGTAGGGATTCCCACATCGACGGGAGGAGTTTTTCTGTCAGTGTAGATCATGGGTTTCCAAACTGGGGGACGTGCCCCAAACTGGGGGGGCATGAAGAAATTCCAGGGGGAGGGATGAGGTGTCCCAGCCCCCCCCCTCCCCTCCCCCCGCCCTATTAAGTTTTGCTGTCCTGCTCAGTTCTTTTCTTTTTTCTTTCTTTTTTTTTTTTCTTTGCTCAACAAGTTTTGCTGCTATTTTGGGGGGGTAAGGGGGACATGAGGGTTTTCAAAAATGAAAAAGGGGGGTGTGATGCTGAAAAGTTTGGGAACCACTGATGTAGATAATCCAGCTCTCTGCAAAGCAGTAACTAAGTCAACTGGTCCATCAAACCGGCAGTGTCTACGCCAGGAAATAGGCCAACCTAACAACAGCACTGCGAGCGCACACATGTTTTCTTAGCTCTCGGTGTCATAACTAGGTCCATTTCATTTTTAAATATAGACCAACGGGGAGGGAGGAGGGAAATGGGGCAACTACCCCAGGGCCCGACAATTCGAAAGGGCTCAGGTCTCCTAGCTGTTGCAACTGCAGCAGCCTTGATTGCCCCAGCTCATTTAAATCGCTGCTGGAGCACCGCAACACACCCTCTGGGCAGTGCTGGGGGGACGGGCATGCTGTGGTCCAGGCAGCGAACCTGCCCCTTACACTGAGGCCCCACTCCTTTCACTGAGGCTCCGCCCCTTCTGGGAGCGTGGAACCACAGGACCCGTCTGCTCCACCTTGCCCAGGGGCCCAACAAAGCTGTCAGCTCCCCTGGCGCGACCCTACAACCTGCCCAGGGCCCCTCTGAAGGAAGAGGCCAGTGGCCAATGGGGACTGTCTGTATATTTCCTTTTCCTTTCTTTATGTTGCTGTTTTCATGTTGTTTGTTTTTTCCCTGGGACTCTGAAAGGGGTAAGCAGCCAGACGATTTAGCAGGGCGGCTCTGAAGCCATCTGCTTCAGAAGGCTGAGTGCCTCCCCTTGAGAAAAACCAGGACTCAGACACCTGCCCATGACCCCCGCTGGGACGTCATGGTCCACAATTTATTTGAAAAATCAAGGCTTAGGGTTATTTTTAAATGGAGTTTATATCATGCTCCCATTGATAAAATTGTTTATATGCAGGTGAGAGCTATGTGAGAGATCAGATATGGCTGAAGTTGGAAAGACAGAGGGGAATCCTGCCTCTTTCTGTTAAAAGAGTGGCAGACTGCAGCAACTGCATGCAATATTTGATTCACTTTTGAAAATCTGGCTTCCAGGCTATTATTTGGCACATTTTATACCTAACCAGAAAATCTATGTGATAGTTTGTCAGGTACAGAGGTAGACTATAACCTCGACTTATAGTTTCATGGTAACTCATTTGCTAAAAAGGGCATAGGTGAGTCATTTCTTTAAAGAGAAATGTCCAAGTGCTAGAGAAAGTGATGAGATTCAGCAGGTAGCACTCAGAAACTCAGTCATGATCCAATGCTGCCAGGGGACTCACCACACTGTTGGACTCTGTCCACTCTGCAACGTTATTTAGGGATGCTGGAGTATCCCGAAATAGCTATCCTGCGTCTTCACAGCCAGCTTATTATTTCAGACTCAGTATTTTGACGTCCCTGTAAACCTCATTCCATGAGGAATACGGGACGTTTCGGAATAGCGCTTTGTTTTGAAATTTGGCACTGTCAATAAGCTATTTCGAAATAGCATCGAAAGAATATACTCAGTTTGCGTAGTATCTTATTTCGAGTTACGGTGCAGTGTGGATGCACCCCTTGAGATATGATGCCATCCCCTCTAAATGAGATGTAACATGGAACCCTTGAATACTAAACTCTCTATGACATGTTTTGCAAGGCAAAGTAGGCTAGCCGTGGTATTCACCCATCTGCCAGAATATTTCTGAAAATACAGAATCCACAGAATCTGCTTCACCCATCTTTGCATAGATCCTTGGCATCCATTTACGGCCACGACCATAATATAATAATCTCACCTTTATCAGTGACACGAGGGAAGGAATTAACATGGTTAGGGGAGAGAGAGCCTTATAAAACGCATGGTGATTTGCCTTTTTTTAATTTGAAAAGAGACAAGGGTTTCCATTTTAGGAGACTTTTCTGTCAAGGCCATGACTATTACGAGAGCAGAGTCAGAAATGCACATTAGGTACAGACGCGGCATGTGATTCCAAGCCAACGCCACCAATAGCTGACATATCAGCATCTCATTACCCACAGGTAAAGTAGAATAATATCCCCAGTTTGACTGTGTAGGAAAGGGAGGGTCTGAGTGAAGCAGAGTCATTCCAGAGATCCAAGCTGCCCTTTATGGCTCAAAGACACACAGAGTTAATCAGACTAGCACCTAGCAGTGCTTTGCTTAGTCACGGGGCTAAACGACACCTCGTAATTCTGAGAGAAAAGGATGCGAGATAGCAAGAGAGTGTGAAAGCCAAACCCATTGGGCAGTGAAGACTGGAACTTGCCATGCTCCTAGTAATGTCCGTGTTTTCTAATCCTCAGAGCTCCATCATCGACCGGTTTGGCAGGCGGACGCTGTTGTGGGGTGGCTATGGGGTGATGGCAGGGTTCCTGGCATTCCTAGTCACAGCCCTCTCCCTGCAGGTAAGGAAGCTTCTCATTTTGGGGCACCGTTTCCCACTTCCACAGAAGCTGCAGTTTGTTGGGCTCCAGTTAAGCCTCAGCCCCATGGGAACATTGGGGGGGGGGGGAAGGAGACAGAAACATCATGAGTTTGGCACTCTAACAAATGCAGGGCTGCACGTCACGTAACTCATGGCTCCTTCTATGAGGACTTGGTCCGTGTCCTCACCTGGAGGTGTCCATGTGCTGCCCCCTCTTAAACAAGCAATCCTGGGGCCAGCGTAACGGTCCTGTGAACAAGGTGCCCTGATCTCGTCTTTCTCCAAACTTCCTATTAACTAATCCCTCCCATATCCCTCTGCAATGGGCAGATCGTGCCATGTGGTCACCATAATCTTTGAAATGGGCATCCCTGCAGCCTCCTTTCTCATTCACCAGTTCCCTCAGCCTCCTCTTCGCTCTCCCAGCATCTGCCTAATGACCTTTTCGGCTGCTGAAAAACTCTTTTTCCCTCGGGGCAAAGCATCCAACACACTTGTTCAGCCCCTGAAACTTTCTCTAGCAAAATGAGTAACCCACTGCCTCATCCTGCAGCTGTTAAACTCTCCTCCATCCCACCCCTTGATACACGGGGCTTTACTCTCTCTATAAAGAAGACCCTTGGCAATTGCCAAACAGATACTAGAAAGTAGTGAGAGTGTTATTCTGCCCCCATATTAATTCCCACTTTCTCTCCTCACTGTTTCCTCTGTAGAATCAGTTCTCCTGGATGGCCTATTGCAGTGTGATTCTCATATTCTTGTTCATTATCTCTTTTGGGATTGGACCAGGTGAGTACATCGACTTGGGCAATGATAGGAACCCTCTGAGTCCCATCTGAGCACAATATGGGCAAGAACTAGACTTTCTAAAAACATCTTCATAGACAAGGAAGTGATGCAGAATCCGACAACATCCTCAACTCAAAAATAAAACCTCAGTTCCATGCAGGATTGTTCACTGGGGCATATTCAGTTTTTTCTCATAGCATCCCTTCAGCCTTTCTTTTCCTTTTTTTTTTTTTTTTTTTTTTTTTTTTCCAATCTGAATCAGATATAAACACAATACTGGAACCAGCTCACAACTCCCTGTTAGGATTCTGGTCCTCACTTAGGACCAAAGCTAACATTAGGTCCCTGACAAATGGCAACCTTTTGTGACCGGAACCTCAGATATTATTATGCTGATATTTTGTGTGACACCAATACTGGGTTTTTATTTCATAGTCAGAACCATAGTGTACGAGTGTCATGACAACCTATTTGGGCACTAGCCCCCAGCAGAAGCAGGAATTCTGCATGTATGCCAGGAGGGGGGACACATATAATCACTCTTCAGGCTTTTGCTTGACCAAAATATTGCTCCTAAATATTAATTGTAGGCATTTGCATTTTTTCACTTTGGGGGAAACAGGTGACTAAAGTTCGTAGGGAAGAAACCCACATAAATGTCTTTGTTATTTTTTATGGTGTTTGTTCAGCTGGGGCAAGCCTGTCTATTGTGGCAGAAATCTTCAACCAGTCAGCCCGATCATCTGCCTTTGTGATTTATGGGACCATTGGCTGGTCTGGCCTCATCATCATCGGGATGACATTCCCCTTTGCTGTGGTAATGCTGCTTGAATTTCTTCTTCGTTGCTTCCCATTTAAACCGACGTGTATGACGGTCTTAGGCAGCAAGGCACAACAAGTGCTTTGTAGTGGCACATAGCTGACCAGTGTTTTGAACCCACCACAAAGCCCCTGTTCCGTGGAGGGCAGCCATGCGGCCCAGGGGGCATACCCAGTCTTGAGATAAAAGGTCTGAGCTGATCCAAATAATCAACTGCCCTTGGCTGTTTTAGAAATATCTTAAACTTTCTTCAGACTGAAGTTATGTCTCATGCCCAAGAGGCAAAGCAACCTTCAAGGAGTTAGGGGTAGATCTACAGTAGGGGACAAAGCCAAATTAAGATACGCAACTTCAGATACATTAATTGCGTAACTGAAGTCAAAGCGCCTGAACTCGACTTTTGGCGCATCTACACTACAGGAAGTTGAAGGCAAAACATTCTTCCTCTGACTTCCCTTACTCCTTGTGGAAGCAGGACTATCAGGATCAACCGGAATGCCCCTGTCACTTTGAATTAGCTGTCTTCACTAGACCCGCTAATTCGAACCCTGGAAGATCGACAGGGGCAGCTTCGATCTTCCTCTGTGGTGCAGACGTACCCAAAGAGAATAAGTATCAGTCAAGGGTTCGTTCATCTTTTTCTTTTCTATTTTTGTCTTCAGGAGGCCCTGGGTCCCTTCTGCTTCCTCATCTTCATGGCTGGTCTTGTCTTCTCTGGGATTTTTTTCTATCTGTTCCTCCCAGAGACAAAGGGGAAGTCCATCGTGGAAATAGCAAAGGAGTTCAGTACAATACATTTTGGAAAGAAACTTTTACTGACTGTGGGGAAGAAACCCACTGAGGAACATACCTTCTGCACCAAACTCTGACTGGCCAGCGGGGTCAGATTTCATTGATACGAAGCATGGTTAAGATGGGAAGCTGAAGCTAAAAGAGACTCTTTTTTAATAAAATCTTATTTGAAAAATAACTCACACATGTCTTCCCTCCTATTCCCAGTAGTCCCTTTTTATATTTGGATCTTTGTTTTTCCTGCTCACGTGCAGCATCTTTGCATATGATGCTTTTCTCCCAACACAGCTTTGTAAAAGCGCCTGTAAAATAAGTCTGACTGATAGTTTCCTTGGATGACTGATAGATCAATTCATGGATTGATTGAACAATTAATGAATGATCTAAATAAATGAGCATACCAGGCAGCAGAAGGACAGATCAGTTGTAGAATTTCCATGCTTTGTCCTTTCCATAGGGGAAGTCTGGGGATAGTTAGATCATTTATTTGAGAGGGGAAAGGCTTCAATGAAAAGCATTGAAAGCAAGAGAATCCTGGAAGTGGAGGAAGACTCACCCTTGTGCTGGCAATTGCACATTTTGATTATCATCAAATGCAATTAAGTTTCTTCCCCCAGTTAAAACCTTAGAACTATTCTTAGGTATGATTGAGGAACGTGCCCTTTATTCTTTGCAATGTGCTCTGCAGGAATTAGCAAGTTGGTTAGGAGTCGGCAGGGCAGGAGTTCTGTTCCTGCCTCTGCAACTAACTCGCTGTGGGCCTCTTTGTCTTACTTCCCTCACCTGTAAAGTGGGGGTCACAATATTTACCCCCCTGCCACATGTGGAACATTGAAGGACGAATGAATGGTGTGCATAGTGGCCACTGGGCGTTAATACTGTATATACGTAGTGTGAAGGGTTGGATCACAGGGATCCCCTTGGGGCAGTCACCCAGTGTGCTGATCAAACCACTGATCATGCTCATCTCCTCTTTGGGATCCTCCTCCCCCCGCATCCTGCTGGACCAGAAGCTCTGGTCTCCCCCCTCAACCAAGGCACGGAGTTGGGGTCACAGCCCCCCTAACAGAGCTACACAGACACTGAATCAGCTCAGTTCTGGGAGAGCTTAGCTACAGCCACTTGCCAGCACCCAAGAGCATAGCCTTCAAAAAAAAGCAACCCCCCCCAATACATCTGTTTTTCTCTGTATAAAAGTTTTACACAGAAGAAGCTTACAAAATTCACCCTCTTGATCAATGAGAGAGATATACAGCGGTGGCACTGCGCCTCTCTAGCTCCTCCCTAACAGTTATTTACACTGGGCTTTGTAATAAACAAACGTATAAAAAACGGGATTGAAGTGATGGCAAGTGAAAGCAGACAGATCAAAGTCAGTTACTAAGCCAAAATACACAGAACACGCCAATTAAGCCTAATACGCAAGGAGATATAGTTACAAAGCATGATTTCTCACCCTAGATCTTATCTTGGGCAAATCCTTCAGGTCAGAACTGATCTTTTTTCTGGGGCTGCTTCTAAGGGAACATCTATACTGTAAGGCTATTTTGGGATACCAGAGGTATCTCAAAATAGCTACCCTGAGTCTTTTGAATGCTTCCACTATTGCAAAATATAGTGGATCTGCTATTTCGGCATCTCTGTAAACCTCATTTCATGAGGAATAAGGGATGTCTCAAAATAATGTATTATTTTGAAATCTGATGTTGTGTAGACATGCCAAATTTTGAAATAGTCTATTTCAAAATAGAATCAAAATGAGATACACAATTTGCTTAGCACAAATTGCGTATCTTATTTCGAGCTAAGGGTGCAGTGTCGATGTACCCAACTCAATAAAATACCTTAAAACCATGGGTGATATTGGCACTCTCATACTGGAAAATAAAACCATCCCAATTCATCCACTTCCCGTTATTGCCACTTTGCAGTGACCAGTATTTCTTCATACATTCAGATTATATCTTCACAGTAGGGATGTAATAGTGTAGTTAATTAACCTACTAACTGATAAGCAAAAGCATATAGATGAATGGTACAGACTACATGCATCCTCTCCTCCTCCAGCCAGTAAATGTTTTAGCAGGCTGGCCAGCACCCTGGCTTGCACCAGGTCCGGGACCTACCCCCGCGGCAGCTCTGCATTTAAAGTGTATTAGGAGCCTGGTGGGCAGGCTGCCTAGCTCAGTTCTGGCTCACGTCCGGTAACTCAGACCACCCCTGGACAAGGATTGCTGCCACCCTGTGCTGCTGCCTCTGAATCAGAGGCAGTAGTGCAGGGCAACAGGCAGCCGGTCTGTGAGGGGAGCTGGTTTTTAAACTGGCTCCCTACGCCAGACAGCTCCCACCTGGCACCCCACACTGCTGCCTCTGATACAGAGACACCAGCACGGGATGACAGGGGGCTCCTCAGGAGTGGGGCCAGAGCATGGACTACAGAATAGTCGACTAACTGATAAGAATTCACGAGGTTACTCGACTAGTCAATTAATCGATATTGAACATCCCTACTTCACAGTAGCTGGTCCCTAAGCAATGGTGAAGCATGATGATATTAGTCAGGAACCATGAAGTTCCGTCATTGAATACACGTTAAACGTGTAGGTTTCACTTTGCAAGAGTTTAACATGAACACTTTCTAGCTGCGGTCCACATGGCTCTGCTCCTTCGAATTTCACAGTGAGTTTCAGGCTAGAATGACCCCCAAATCTTACAACAAGGTCAGCAGAAAACACCGAGTTTCTCAATGTGTACCTACAATAATGAGGTTTGCATGTAAGGCCAACTTTTTTACTGTCCCCCTGTACCACAAAACACACAACAGAGATGGCAAATCATTGGTATGAGAGTGGATTCAGGGTCACATTATGATATATTATGTTAGAAAGTGAAAAGCAGCAATAGGGCCCAAAGGAACAAGGGAGGGGCATGAACTGTATATAACTGGTATAGTAAGAGTACACCTACTTACACATTGGATTTCTTGAGGGTTATGTTAAAATATCAGCCTCAAAATTCCTCTTTTCCCCAGCTAGTGTGCACTGAATTTCATGGCATGACACAGCTGTTTTATGCTGGGTCAGAAGCAGGTACGTGTCTCCTACAAAAGATCAGGTGACTGACCCATCTGATTCCAGTTACTTATTTGGTGCTGCTGACTTTTTACCCACTTCCCTTCCCTAAATGACCTTACTGGCAAGCAGAAAAATGCTCTGTGTAACATTAACAGAATCAGCGGCTGGAATGGATTTTGGAGCATAGGTTAAGGGCCCGATCCAAATCCCATTAAAGTCAATGGAAAGATTCACATGGAAGCCAATGGGAGTCTACCACTGACTTTAATGTGAGTTGGACTGAACCTTGGGGAACCTATATTCAAATCAATTTCAGGGCAAAAGGAAAAGCTGCCCCACTGACTTCATGTTTCAGCAAATTAATTAGCAGCAGTTACCTGTGTGGCTGCCCAGTGGTCTGCATATCTTCTGCTGTTCCTGTCAGCCGTCAGCTAGAGTGCCTCAACCACACCACCAACCTAGGTGCTAGTTCTAGTACCCTGGTACCTGCACCCTTCTTCTCTTACCTAAGAACCACTACTAAACCCACACATTTGGTAGGGAAATGTGGGGGTGATGAGGGAGTCTCTTCAAATGTGGCGAAAAGCTGGATGGAACCCTACACATCTTACCTCATGAAATCCCGACAAATAGAGCACCTGGAGCCATCTGTATCACAGATGCCGTATGAATACAACCATGCAATACTGGCCAGTTTTTATACTTAAAATATATTTTTAGTTCTTAGATTTAAAACATCATGGATACATCTACACAGTGGGGCTATTTTGGGATGGCAGAAGTATCCCAAAATAGCTACCCCGCGTCTTTGGAATGAGCCTGCTATTTCGAGATAGGCCTCGAAAGAGTGGATGCGCTATTTCGATATCCCTGTAACCCTAATTCCATGAGGATTGAGGGATGTCTTGAAATAGCATGTGATTATGAAATTTGGCACTGTGTAGGAGAACCTGATGGGTATTTAACTTTCTGTAGTATCAGAGGGGTCGCCGTGTTAGTCTGAATCTGCAAAAGTGGCGAGGAGTCCTGTGGCACCTTATAGACTAACTGAAGTGTCTTTTTGCCCACAAAAGCTTATGCTCCTACACTTCAGTTAGTCTAACTTTTTGTAGTGTCTTGGGACAGGTCTTGGTTGGTCATTGCTTGAGTCTGTAAGGGAGGAAGAGAGACAAGGAGCCTCTCCTCCCCTTCTCATTCCTCACACCGGGCCTGCTACAGACTTTGCCTCTTTGTTCTCCAAAGCACAAGGCCTGCTGATGCAGCTGCTAGAGAGGAGCAGCTCTCCCCCCACGCTGCTCAGGAGGTGGCAAAAGCCTGGTCTACACCTGCAATTTGGTTGATTTAGCTACACATCTCAGGGAGATTAAAAAAAACAACCCACACCTCTGAGAGATGTAGTGATCTAAGACCCCAGAGAGACACTGCTAGGCCAGTAGAAGAATACTGTCAGCCTATCGACCACCTCTTCCAGGAGTGGATTTACTACAGCCATGGAACTGCCCCTCTCATTGCTGTAGCTCTGTAGCTTTGCCACTGTAGCACTCTACAATAGAAAGACAAAGTAGAACCCAGAGTGTAAAGAATGGTCTTATTACCAGCAGAGGTGCTGACACTAAGAGTGCTGGCCACGCTGATGCATCCCCTCTCTTGAAATGGTTTCCATGATATACAGTGTTTATAGTTTGGTTCAATGACTCTCAGTACCCCTAGTATTCAAATTGTTCCACCTTCCCCTCTCCCCCATCACCAGTGAATGAAAATGACTGTGATGGTGTTATACTTTCAAAAATTAGGTCACAGGTTATGCAAGCATCACCAAGAATTTTAAAAAAAACTCTGTAGAAGAAAATTGTTTAAAATCCAAAGCCAATAAAACAACAGGGCTGTGTCTAGACTGGCAAGCTGCTTTTGCGGAAAAACTTGCCAGCTGTCTACACTGGCCGCTTGAATTTCCGCAAAAGCACTGACGATCTCATGTAAGATTGTCAGTGTGTCTTGCGGAAATGCTATGCTGCTCCCGTTTGGGCAAAAGCCCTCTTGCGCAAATGCTTTTGCGCAAGAG